AAAGACCTGAGAACATTTTCCGTTTGAAAATTAATAATTTCACAAAACCTTATGTTGTTTTTAAATCACATTGATCACGAGCTACGCATATATATCATCTACCATGATGGCTGATGTTAAATTTGTCATCCATATCCTGAAAGCATATATACACTAGCAATGAACCAGCACTGCAAATGTTACTTGTATCCTGCAGTACATGATGATTAAGGGATTTAGGAGCTAGCCTCTCTAACTCAGTCACATCAAAACCTAATCTTTATCCCAACTCTATTTGCAAACTTGGCTGGATAAAAGAACTGCAAGTTGTAGGTCAGGTCACCAGCATCCATCAAAGAAGCCATCAACTAGTTTTCATACATATACCAAAAGCCACAAGTAGTCACCAGCAGCTACTCCTCTACATGAACAAAAGTTTCATGATGTATTACAGGTATATCTTCTTACACATAAATAAGACGATTCAATACTACAACAGCAACTTGAGAATGTATCTAAGTGCACTACAGAATATAGCATTTTATTTTTGAAACATAGTTAGTTCAAACAAAAATTCTAATGAAGACATTGCCATAAACATTGCATAGCAGATGTCTGTGAGAATGTGCTGTAACTGCACACCAACTACTGAAGTTTAAGCTGCTCAACACACTAACAGCATTGCACCTACATAAGAGACGACTGTTTCTGTGGAAAAAAAACCAACAAAAAACAAAGAGATTGACTGTAAAGTTTTCTAGAAAGTCATTGTGTGTTCCATGCATATCTGAAACCTTACACTAAAATTTAACCCCAAACAAGCAATTAGTAACAGAAGATTTGTAAAGCCTAAAATATTGTAATGCCCCAAAAGGGAAAACAACAAAACTCTCCCTCCGCCCACCTTTCTTTCTCTGAACTATCACCTACTTTTATGAGCTAACCATCCCCACGAAATAATGTAACACCACTAGAACGCAAAACCCTGAAAATTGACTTCCCAAGGCCTGTTCCAACCTGAGATAACTCATGCTACGACAGAGATCCTTATTTCCCTAGTGTATTTAGACCAAGCCATTGGGAAGCTGGATACACACAACACTGTCAGTTATGGCTAAAGGTCTGTGTAAGGAAAATGTCTCTGACAGTTCTCTAAACAGTCTATTACCACTTTGTCACAACCACTAGAGACTGATGCAAACCTTTCAAGAATTCAAGATTGATAAAATAATCTGCAAGTCAGAGCAGACTTTTCCTTCCCCCATTTCTAAATGAAAGAGAGAGGGGCTATTCAAAAATACTTAAGCAAACAAACCAGATTACACTTTTTGATCTTTTAGTTGTATCTAATAAACGCTAGTATGGCCACCAAGGTGCTAAGATGTCTTTTGGACAACAAATGAAGGTGGCATCACATAAAGAACGTTTAAATTGCATCCAACTGCTAAACAATGTCTCTTTCTTGTTATCTCCTGCTGTTGGATCAACACATACAACAAAAAGATGATGTTAAGAATCACTTTTTATGGCATCCCATGGGTTTACAGGAAATTACACAACAGTTCAACAGATAGCTTAGATTTCTTCAGAAGTATTGAAGAAAGGATTAAATGTACTAAGCAGTCAGAGTACTGTAACTTAAGTCTATTTCAAGGCACCTTAGAAAGTTTTGAAAAAGCTGACTGCTTTACACTGAGTATACAAAACAAGTGGTACCCCAAAGCTATAATCATTATTTACAACTTCAACTCTTATTTTGCACTGAAAAAGAAACAATATATGGGGAGGAAAAATATTTGACAGCACACACACAAACCCAAAGCTGACAGGAGAGTAAGTCAGCATTCACAACTCACTTCCTTTTAAAATTTTGAAGCCATGCT